CCCCACCTTGTGATAGTCGACGACGTCGCTGGTGCAGGTGAGTGCCGACGCATTGGCGTTGAACGTGCGGTCAGCGAATGCCGAGTACTCGGGCTTGCCGCCGTCCTGCGACACCACCCAGAAGTGGAACCGCCCCTCAGTCTCGTTGAAGTAGGGGTACTCGTGCCGGATGCTCTCCACAGCCCCACGGACGTCCTCGGCCGTCCGCCACCGGTCCAAATTGTCCATCCCGCCTGCGCAACACAAAAGCACAGAGGTAGAGAGGGGGCCATCAATCGGACGCCTTCACTCCTCCACAGGCATACCATACCGAGGTTCCATTTCTTGAGCGTCGACTTCCACATGACGGCCAAGTCCGACCGGTGGCCAAACACTGCTGTGGTGGGAAAAGTAGGAACGGCAAAGGCGGCGGTGAGGGATGCAATGGCCGATGCAACAGAGGGATCGCCTCCGTGGTAAGAAATGGTGTGGAAGTTGGGCAGCTGCTGTGTGTGGGACCAGAAGACGCTCTCCAGGAGGTATGCCGAGTTGCCCTTGGCACGCAACACCTTGCGCAACGACAGCGGCTCGGGCTGGTGGGCAGCACTCACTGAGAGAGAGAGGAGAGAGAGAGCACAGAACGAACGGATACAAAATGAGGGCATTTCAGCTTTTTTCTCTCGTCCGTCGCTCACCAGGTGGGATGGGGTACTGGTACACATGGAGTTCGCAGTGCATGCTGTCGAGCAGCCCCGTCAGCAGCTGTCGCCTCTCAGCTATGGAGGACACCTTGACCTTGGCAGACTGCCCATCATCCGACCAATCCCTCGCCCCATACCGCCTCGTCGTTCCCTGGAAGTCCTCAACCCCGCCCTCCTTGACCAGAGGCCGCAACAGACACTCGCACACCTGACGAGCCGCCTGCACCGTACCACTCTCATCCACCGTCTGCAGGCCATTTCGCCGCTTTTCCACGATGCTCTTGACCGACAGGGTGTCAGTGTCGGTGCACTTGACGTCAGATCCCATGAGGTCGTCTTCGAGCAGCGTGTAGATTTCTGTGAGTGCTGGGTTGAGTGATGTGTCCCACAGCTCCTCCAGGAGGGCTCTGGAGACCAGGATGAGCAGGAGGATGGCGATGCAGAAGGGCAGTCGGCCGCAGCGACGGCACAGACGGATAGGCACGTAGCTGAGCAGGGGCCTGAAAGATGAGATGAACAGCACACACATCACACAGAAAGGGTGAATCCCTTCCCTCTCGCCCTCTCTCTCTTTCGACGATGTGGTGTGCGTGTGTGTGCATTCTGCGTCCGTCCACCTGTTGAACAGCAGCCACTTCTTCTTGGATGGCGAGGCCTCATCGCTTCCGTCTCCGCCATCCATGGCGCCATCACTCGGCATCTGTCGCCGCACCACGCGATCTCCACCACCACCGTCTTGATCATGATGATGAACACCCATAACCTCCCTCTTCATCCTCATCAGCCACATCCCATAACACTAATATCTCCTTCTGTGTCCTTCTTTCGCCGGACAGGATACGCCAGCCAAGATCTGTTGCCGGCCAGATAAGGTGCGATCGCCACACGCACAGAGCCGAAGAGATGGCGGAGTCTGTTGCTGCTTCTGGTTGTGGTGGTGGTGCTGGTGCTGGTGTTGCGTGTGAGGATGACGATACGGCGATGGAGGAGGAGCTGTATGGCCTCCTCGACGAGTTCATTCACACAGACGTTCGCCCTGCCCCTCCGCCACAGACACAGAAGAGAGAGAGGCCTCCCAGCAGCAGGCGAAGAGGGGAGGGCGTCGTCCGCGGCGCCAGGGTGGCCGGCGCGCAGAAGAGATCATCGCACCTCACCAGAACAGGCAAGGGAGATACGCACACACACAGAGATGGGCACACCAGAATGAGTGCACGACTTTCCCTTGTGTGTTCACAGGCAGCAACAGCTCAGGCACCAGAGTAGCAGTCGCGCCGGGCAGCATCACCAGCCGTAGCAGAAGCAGAGCACCGCTCCCACCCCACACCCCTCGCCACCCCTCCCTCTCTGCCAACCCAGCTGCAGCCACCGGCACCAGCTCTAGCAGCAACAGCAACAGCAGCAGCTTCCTGGTGGAGTACGAGGGCGTGATGGAGCTGCCCGATGAGGCGTTGGGTGTGGACTATGACATTGGTGCGGTTGGGAGCAGTGATGGTGACGAGGGCGAGAACGAGCGGCTGGAGCTGACCATCAACTCGGACGACCCCACGCAGAAGGCCTTCAACAAAGGTAGATGCGGTGTGATGTGGGGTGGTTGGTTGGTTGGTTGGTGCATCGGTCGGTTCGTGTGTGTGAGTGGATGCATTGCATGTGATGTGATGTGCGGGTTGCAATCAATGCAGCTGTGTGTCGTGGTCGCATATCTGAGATGAAGCGCCTCATGGACGAAGGACATGACGTCAATAGCAGGTCGGCTCGGCATGTCTGGACCAGACAGACACAGAGAGAGATGGAGAGGAGAAGCAGCCAGCCAGGGAATTGAATACCCATCTCCATCCACCCCGTGTGATGCATGTGTGTATATATGTGTGTGATTGTTCCTTATAGGGACATGGATGGGCGTACGGCGCTTCACCATGCGTGTGGGCAGCCCAGGCGGCTGCGGGTGGTCGTCTGGCTCCTCAAACACGGCGCACTCACATCGGTACGTACGTTTGCACACCCACACCCACACCCACACCCATCATCCACCCTCCACCCCACACGCCACGCGGATGCGCACCGCACACAGAATCGCCAATACCAGTCGGTCGTCCGCTTTGTTGTGTTGTGTTGTGTTGTGTTGTGTTGTGTTATGGTGGTTGACCGACCAGGTGAATGTGCCAGACGATAAGTTGTGGACGCCCCTCAACATCACCATCATCACCAACGAACCCGCATACGCCAAGGTACGCGAGATAGATGCTTGGGTCGGGAACGCGCTGCACCCACACCACGCCATCATCACTCTACTGATTGATTGGCCATGGTGTTTGCACCATACCAGGCGTTGTTGGACCACGGTGCCGAGACCGGTTTGCGGTTCTCTCACACTCTCATGCCGTCGCGGCGGGGAGTCAACTTCGTATGTGCCACACACAACGCACACACACGGGCGAAAAGGATGCGATGCATGTGGAAGATCTCTCCCTCTCTCTCTCCCTCTCTCTTGCCATCCATCCAGAGCTACCCGATCCACCTGGCGGCGAGCAAGGGCAACACGGACATCACAAAACTGCTGCTGCACCACGGGGCCACAGGTACCTACTCGCAGCACATCCACCACATCACATCAAACGGCGCGTGACATTCTCATTCATCTGACCTGCGTCTTCGTCTTGGTGTCCGTGGTGCGTGCGTGTCAGTGAATGACTCTGACGAGAGCGGCAGCACGCCCCTGCACTACGCGGCGGCCAGACACCACACTGACTACCTCAAGTGGCTCCTCCACCTCGGTACGTACCACACCCTCCAGGCACACAACAAAAGGCGAACAGACAAACAAACAGAGACCGGAGGCCCCATCTATCTCTTCTCGTTTTCTCAGGTGCCGATCCGAATGCCCGCACCAAGGACGGCCGCACGGCCCTTCACGCCGCCGCGTCGTACGGAGAGGTACCATACCATGCGCTCACACAACACACAATCAATCGGCACATCCATCCATCCATCCATCCCCCGCATATAGGTGGCGAATGCGAGCTGTTTGATAGCCCACGGCGCGGAGGTGAATGCGTCCGACCGCTTCGACGTCACGCCCGCACGACTCGCCGCCGTCAGAGAGCAGAAACACATGGTATCTATGGGGCCAGGCCAGTCAGCCAAAGAACGTGCCATCCACACCAATGAATGCCTTTGCCTTTGCCTGTGGATTATATTGTCCAGAGCGCCTACCTTCACGCCTTGATCTGGAAGCTTCGTCTCGGCAACAACCCCGTATACCCACCCCCACCAGCAGCTACTCAAGTACCGGCAGCCGCCCCACCAGCAGCGTCAGCAGCGGCAGGAGGGGAGCAGGCGACGGACTTGCCTGACGCCCCCAGCAGCAGCAACAGTCCCATCGCAGCACAAGCACCACAAGAGCAGCAGCAGCAGGCCAGCTCATCGAGCGCTCCTCCCGTTGTGGGGGTGGTGCAGGCTCAACAAGAGGAAGCGCACTTCGGTACGCCCGCCCGTGTGAGGACCAAAGAGAGTGCACACCCGTTGTGTATGTTGTGTCTGTCTGTGCAGCTGGCATGTACAGCCTGTCGTATGAGGTGCGCACCTACATCGAGAAGGTCATCGACATACTCAAGGTAGGTTGGTAGGGACACTCACTCTCTCTCTACACACACACACATCCGCCCATTCGCCTCGCCATGCCATCCATCCGCAGGAGCCTAAGCGCAGTCAGGTGGTGCGGACGGTCGTCAGGCTCGGCATGAAGGTACCCAAGCCAACCACCCACCTAACAGACAGACATGCCGCCCGCCACACAACGAACGACTCCCCTGCTCTCGCCCGCCTTGCTGTTTGTCTGGTGCACCAGCGTACAGAGGAAATCCTGCAGAAGACACTCGAGATAGAGAGAAACGGTCAGTCGGTTGCTGGGTGGCTGGGGGCGGCCGGGTGGGGAATACGCCATGGACATCGGTTGTGTGCTTGCTTATGTCAGGTGGTCAGCTGACCAACGACGGGCAGAACAAGCGGCGGACCCCCGGGGGTGTGTTCTTCACTCTCATTCGCGACATGGTGCGCGAGGGGTCCATCCCACAGCAAGACTGGGACTACATCAGACAGGTACCCTACCCCTCACACAACCACGTGTGCACACCACACCCGCCGTCTGTTATGCGTCATGCTTGATTCCTGCCTGGTTCATTCAGTTGGAGAAGGAGAAGTCCACCGCCCGGAAGAAGAACCGCACCAAGCATCCCCCCGCCGCAGACGTCCCATCGCAGGCCGGCCACCCACTCTCCACCGACCCCCTCGCTTTCCCATACCAGCCGCCCCCACCGCCCCCGCCAGGAGGGGCCAACGCCTTCGACAGGCTGCTCAGCCAGGTGCTGACCGGACCCAGTCCACCACCGCCCATGCCACCGATGCCACCCATGCCGCCCCCTCCCTCTGTCCAGCTGTCGGTGCCGCATGTGATTCCCCCGTCTGTGTACCGGCCCCCACACATGGCGATGCCATCGCCGCCACCCATGTACCATCCGGTGCACCATAGTGGTGGGATGTACCAGCAGCTGCCACAGCATCAGCCATATTATCAGCCATATCAGCATCCACAGGCACCCCCCAACCCCTCTGCGGGCGACGCGCTGAGGACCATCCGTGCCACCCTCAACATCGCAGCATCGCACCCACACCCACAGCACCAGCAGCAGCACCAGCAGCGACAGCGACAGCCGCCAGCTGTGACAGTCATCCCCCCTCCCCCAGCAGAACGGACCGTCCTCAAGTGGAGGCCCGTCCACACCAAAGACACAGACAACACCAACAGCGATCAGCAACAGCAGCAGCAGCAGGCCAACACCGAGAGAGGCGCCACAGAGAGGGTGCAGCAGGTGCAGCAGGTGCAGCAGCAGTGGCGCATCAAAGCCAAGGCACCAACACCAACACCACCACCAGCAAGCCCGACTCGAGGGGACGTCAAGAAGGGGGACGGGCAGGCGACACCAGCAGCAGCACCTCCAGCAGCAGGGGCCGCGGCGGGTGATGGGCCCAGCAGTAGTGGTAGCGGCACAGTGCGCCGTGAGTGGCGCGCCAAGAGCGTTGACAGCGAGAAACGAGGGGCTGACGGGGAGGGGGCGGAAGGTGTTCAGGGGGCAGCTGCAGAGCAGAAGAACTGAGTGAGTGTTGGTTGACTGGCGGGGCGCTGGGTGGGTGGTTGGATCTTGTGATGACTAGCTTATCTATCTTGCGGCACGCACGAGCCATGCCGTTGTGCATACTCACGTCAACACGAGAGAGAGATTTTCAGGTTGTGTAGTTGGCGGATCGGATTGCTTTCTCTGGCCTCCCTCCCTGCCGGCCTGCCTGCCGGCTGTGGTTAGTGATTAGCTCATGTGTGTGTGTGTGTCTAGACCTCCTGCTGTGCGTGCGAAGACACCTTGATCCATCCATCGTCCATCGGTGTATCTATCCATTCATTGAATGATTGACTGAAGAGTGTGTGTCCTTCCACTCCTCTCTCTCTCTCTCTCTCTCTGTGTCCGTCCGTCCCGCGGTGGGTGGGCAGCAGCATCACAAACACCGTGTGTCTCAAATTGTGTGCTCACATACCCACGGGTGCCGTGGACCACCCCACCAGCCAGCCACCGACCATGCACACACATCCATCCATCCATATAGAGCCACACACACACACACACACGCACACACACACGTACCACCTGCCCCTGCCTAGTACCTACTTACAGAGAGACAAGACCACCCGAGCCAGTAGTGAGGGAGGGAGGGAGGGAGGGGGGCGAGGGGCTTCGTCTCAGATATATGTACAGTGCGATCTTGCTATCATGCTATGACGCTATCTATGTCGTCCACCCTTCAGACAGGCAGGCATGTCAAAAAGCCGACACAGTCGCCAGTCGCCACCGACCCAACTGCACCCAGGCAGGCAGGAAGACAGAGATAGGTAGGAAGCTGTACAGTGAGTAGTGAGTGAGTGGCACGTACGCCCGTGCAGTGCAGTGCAGTGTGTGCAGCCAACGTGGAGGCACCTAGGCGAAACACTTTCGGAGGCAGGCAGGCAGGCAGGCAGGTCGGTAGATTCGGGTATACAGCACAAAACCCCTTTCCACTCGTGCTATCCAATCCAGTGCAATCAATGATGCGGTGCGGTGCGGTGCGGTGGCCATCCCGCCCATCCGCTCGCTCACTGGTACACACCGATTCGGTCTCCCTTTCTCTCTCTGTTACTCTCTTGGTTGCGTATGCATGTATGTACAGACAGATGTCCCTATGTATGTGGTTGTCATGGTCACTCACTGACTATATACAATCCACGCAGGCAATGCAATGCACCCACACGTACAGGCAGGCAGGCAGGCAATGCATCCTTTATCGCCGCCCGTCCGCCCGTCTGTCTGTCTGTCTGCCCACCCAACCGCCCCCCCCAACCCACTGTCTTAATTTCTGCACAACAGCAGGCAGCAACACCGCAGCAGCAACGCCAACGGCACCAGCAGCAGCAGCAGCAGCAGCAGTAGTAGCTGTAGTGAAAAGGCAAGGCAACCTAGGCAGCTCCCTCCCTGCCTGCCGGTCAGCTTAGCCAGGATGTGGACAGAGATGGCAAGGCACTAGTTAGTTAGTAGCTTCAGGTCTTCAGGTCGGCCGTCCCAGGTAGAGTGCAACCACAGACAGACACAGACAGACAGACAGACACACAGACAGACAGGCCTGCCTTCTCCCTTTGTCTCTAGCTATACATCATCAGGTTAGGTTAGGTTACATCCGTCTGTCTGTCTGTCTGTCTGTCCGCCTAGATGGGCAGGCACAAATGGAGAGAGAGGAGGAGACCGACCATAGATAATACAGATGATTAGCTAGCGGAAGGAAACACACACGCCACACGCCACAACAGGTCCTTACAGGCCGTTCCGAAATCACACACACACACACACATACACATACACACACACACGACCAACCAACCAGGCAGGCAGGCAGGCAGGCAAGCACCTACGCACTCTACACATGCACCACACCATACACCCCTCCCCGGTGAGTGGACACATCACATACACCTGGTTTCTGACGGACGGACGGCCTCCTGTGAGCAGCAATCAATATTAATCGCCCGGCAGCGCAGCCCCGACTTTTCTCTCCGTCTGTCAGTACTGACTGACTCAGGTGGTGAGGAACACCCGCAGCACCTTCATGATCTTGGTCCGACATATCTGCAAGTGGAATCGAATCCATCACACAAACAGCCAGCCCGGCACCAGCACAGCCAATCGAGCACACCATCAGCCCGCCCACAGAGAGTGGGGATTGGTACTTAGGTATGTCTTCCTTACCGGGCAGTCGTCGAGCTTGACGGCGCAGTCCATGCAGGCGCACACGTGCCCACACGGGTCAAACGCACACTGAAGTCAGTGATGGACATGACGACAGACAGACAGACGTGTGAGTTGGTTGGTCGTGTGTATTGTTGAGGAGGTGTGTGTATTGGTTGGTACTCTCCCTACCTCGTCGGGTTTGGCCATGCAGATGACGCACTTTGGCGCCATGTATTTGCGGCTCGAGGGCGACACCCCCTGACCCACCTCGCTCTCCTGACGCGTGACGTGCTCCTGAGAGATCGGCCGGCCGATCAGCCACATCCATCACATCACACACATCACACACGTGAGCGGAGCGGTGGGTGAGCCAATCACTGGGCCATCCATCCATCCATTGCCCCCCCCTCTCTCTCTCTCAGTGTCCGTCCCTCTCCTCTCTGTTCACTCACCTTGTCATGTCTCTTTGTAAGGTCGAGTGTGACGGGCTCCCGTACCCTCACGCTGGCACGGGCGCGACGCGACGAGGGGGACCGACCGCCCTCACCAGCACCCTGATTGATAGATGTGGATGCATTGAGAGAGCAGACAAACCAACGGATAGACGGACGGCATACAACGCCTCTCTGGTCTGTCTATCTGTCCGTCTGAATCTCAGCCTCGGTTGTCACCTGAGCCGCGTCACTCCGCCGAACCTGAGATGCGATCCATGCACACAAACACGCACATCCATGCCATGCACTCACCTGCTGTCCCTCCACCTTTATCAATGCATGCATCTATCTCATCCATCCCCCCCACCCACCTCACCTGCACAGCGCCCTCAGGCAGCATGAGTGTGTTGGAGTTGTTGACGTTGACGACGGCAGTGGGGCCGCTTGTGCTATCGGTGGCCGTCTGGGGCTGCTGCGGCTGCTGGGGCGCCGTGGTGGTCTCCTCCTCAACGTTCTGCACACTCGACGGAGGAACTATCACCAACTGATCGAGTGGAGGGATGGACGAACGCCGAAACAAAAAGTTCAGAGAAGGAGGGTGGAGAACGTCGTGCCTGCCTGCCGGTGCCCTCACTGACTCACTCACCCGGTCGTCAACAACTTGGACGCTGGCGTCATGGGGGCCGAAGTAGGGGTTCTTCTTGGCTTCTGAAAGAAGGAGACATTCACACATGTCAAAAAAAGTCAACGGCACGTATTGGTGTGGTGAGGGGGCGGCCCGCCCGCCTTACCTCCGAAGAGTTTGTTGATGAGCTCGAGCATCCTTTCGATTTCCCCGCCCTCGCGAAACTTGAAACCCAAAATGTAACCTCCACTCAGCTGAATGAAGCGATCAACACACGAATCACATCCATTGGTCCATCTATTCGACACGGCTTCTCGTCTGTCTGAGTCCCTGCCGCACCCACCTGTGAGGTTTCGATGACGAGCGCCTGCCCAAACCGCGACGCCCGAGTGCCGACGCCACGCTGATCAAACCGAGCACAGACAGCCGCGAGCCTTCTTGCTGGTGCCGTCCGTTGTGTCTTGCATCTCACTCACTCACTCACCGTCTGAATGAATGGGACGCTGACGTTGATGTTGGGGGTGGCGGCCGCCGACCAGACCACCCTCAGCTGATACATCAAGCCAGTAAACAAATACAGGACAACACATTGAACAGACATCCCATCCAGCACACGGTTTTGTGTGCCGGTCATCCGATGCGCACGCCACGTACGTTGGTGACGAAGAGCGTGCCGGGGAACGACTCGTCAGTCGTCAGGTTGTCGCAATTCTCAACCTGCACACAACACAACACACGGCACGGCAGCACCACCAACACACACACATTACATGGCAATACCAACACCCAAACTGATGGAGGGAGGGGAGGGACGGACGGTGCTCGACTCGGTTTACCTTTTTCTTGACTTCTTCATTGGGCAGGATGGTGAGCTCGCCGTCGCTGAGCAGAGCCTCATCCCTGCAGAACACGCAGACAAAGACAGACAGACAGCACACCGACCATACAAACCCTCTTCCATTGCAGATCCGCCCGCTGCCTCCCGAACCTGAGAATGAGGTCCCTGTAAGTGCGTGTGGCACGGTAGCGCCTGCACACAAAACGACACAAACAAAACACATACAGGCAGGCAGGCCAATCAGCTCAGCAGGAGGCGCCCGCCCTTTGTCAATCAATCGCGAGGAAGGTAAGGTACCTACCTGACGGTGGTCTCGAGTTGGTGGAAGAGCTGCATGGCCTTGTCCGAGTCGATGGCGAAGGTGAACTCGAATCTGGTGTTGTTGTACTGGGTCATGATGTTGGGGGCGCGGACCCGCTGGAACTGGCGGCTGTTGACCATGTTGAAGTGCAGGTAGGCAATCGTCCCCATCCCGATGCTGATGTTGAGCTTCGGGTTCGTGTTGCTCGTCCACAAGATCCGCAAATTCGTTATCTGCACCCGACCTAAACCATTGTCACCCTGCAGGCAGCGCGGGGACCACACACACGCAGTGCAGTGGGATGGATGGATGGGCTTGCCCTGCCCATGTCTGTCTGTCTGTCTGTCTTTCTCGCTCACCTTGGTATCTTCCACATCATCGAAGGCCTGTAGTGTGACCTCAGCTGGCCGGAGGGCCATGACGGTCCTGGGCTGGTCCCACCGAATGGCCCGGTCCTGCCACAGCTGCTGCACGGTGTCCTTCTCCACTTGGCTCCCGAAGCACCCACCCATGATGGCCCCGAACAAACAGGCAATCCAGAGCCGATAGATACACAGACAGACGACAACGGCCTCTCCCGCTCAGAACAAGGGGTCGCTCAGTCGCCTCCTGCTGTCTTGCCTTTGGCAGGCCGGCCGCAGAGGCATCAAGAGAGAGCGGGTGAGGGTGGCAGCCGCGCCCTGACCAACTGACTGTGGGCCCCGCACACCTCACAGTCTGTCCGTCAGCCAATCAATCCCCTCCTGCGGCTGTGGGCAGCGGACGGAGGCAAAAGTTCCTCACCGCCGTTAGTGAGGGCTTGGCCTGGGCGAGTCCCTCTCGTGGCGGTGTTGATTGCAGCTCGTGCTCTGCAGGGGCGCCCTCGTGAGGATTTGTCCGCTCACACCTGCGAGCTTAGATAGCGTTTCATTTGCGAGCTTAAAGTTCAGAGGGAAGCAGAAGATGGACAAAGAGCTGGCAAAGTTCGATAAGTGAGCAAGCGAACCTCAATCCGTTCTCAAATCGGCTGGCATGTTGATATTGTTTTTAGGATGTCCAAGGATGTACTCGTCGACAAGATACTCGAGATGCAGGACACTCTCGCAGGCAAGCGCAGTCGACGCGGCAGACACACACCTCATCGCCGATCACCCCTTTTAATTGTTTCTTCCTTCTTCTGCCTCTGCAGCCCTCACTCTGCGTGTAGACAGCGTCAAGAGTGAGAACCACACGTTGCGTGAGGAGAATGGCGTGCTGCGTGAGTACGTGGACAACCTCATGGCCAAGGTCGGCACCATGAGCAGCCTCGGCACCGCCCCGCCCAGCGCCGTCAAGGTTCCACCATCGACCAAGAGGGACTCACAAGCCGCTGCAGTGCATGGCCGCCGCGCCACCAGCGGCGAGAGCACCCATGCAGTCAGGGTCAATGACCACATCGGCGAGCTGGCCACGTCATACGGTGCGCTGGAATGTTAGGGAATGCAGTCAGTGATCGTGGGACCCTTTCTCTTTCGTCGTCTGTGCGTGTTCTGGGCGTGCAGATTCATAGCAGGTGGCACGCTGGGCGACGTAGTGGGGTGGTCGACACTGCTGCTGCTGTCACTCGTGTGTAGCGGCTGGGATAGTTGAGTGGCAGGTGGTGTCTTTTTTCTGTTCTCGAATGGACGACAGATCATGAGACGATCGTGTGAATGTGCGTGAACGTGACTGCCTTGGTGAACGTCACTTCTCCATCAGATCCCATTCCTCACAGCCTTATGTGTAATGCGTGTCAGATCGTCTCGCATCGCCATATACGCACACTCGACATGCACAGCCAGAAGCCACCGAAGCATCTCCCACGCACGAGTCCCTTCGTGAGAGCCCTGTCTTTCATGAAGCGAGTCGAAGGAAACAAATTGAGGCCTCGAGAAGGACGAAGCCAGGCAGGAATGGTCCTATCAGAGCTTGTTGAAGCTCACGATCTCACAACTCTGCAACACATTCACCAACGAACGACAGAGCAGACACGTGCGTGTAGGAGCAAGCCAACGGACGTTACACCAAGCAGAGTGGCTCACCTGTACGAGCCCTAGTTCTTCGTCCTCATCGCCCTCCTCCTCTCCCTCATCAATGGCCTTGCGCTTGGCCATCTGCTCCTCTGAATGATGGATGCATCCACAGCACAGGGACAACAGGTATGAGTGCTCTGGTGCTCTGCGTGTGGGAGCGGTACGGGGAAGGTCCTCACCCCACTCACCTGTCATGCCGACATTCTCGATCTTCTCGCACAACTCGTCTGTCGACACCAAATCGTCCTGGACTACACAGCCAACCTGCACAGCCAGACAGGGGACGAAGCAGGCGACCATTCCGTATGACCTGGCACGTGTGTGTGGGTGTCTGTGTGAATCAAGCTCACTTGCAGCTTGTGGAGACCGAAGGCCATGGGAATCTGCATGCCCAAAACCACAAACAGACGTGCTCACGTAAAGATATACACGCGAGCATCCGCGTGGCGTGGGTGCCTACACCTTTTTGGTCTGCTCCTTCCATTCGAGTCCGTCCATCTTGATGGCCTTGACGAGCGAGGCCAGCGTGTCTAAGTCGGTTTCGGTGGAGAAGGGCTTGCAGTCGATGAGCAGCAGCGACTTCTCGATCTTCTTCTTCTTGCTCGCCTGTGCCTCGGCCCTGCACCGGTGGACAACACACACACCCAGACAGGCCACCTTAGACCAGATGCGGTGACCGCATGCACCACCCTCTATCCTGTCGGTCCCTTTCCTTACTTTTTCTTCTCTGCCAGCTTCTTCGCTTCCTCTGCCGCCTGAACGAACAATGCACCAACAACATATGAGCGCATGCCCCGTGCACTGCCCTCCCTCGCTTGCCTTGGGATCTTCGTCACCAAAGAGATCAATGTCATCCTCCTCGTCTGCCGTTGTCTTCTTGGCTGTCATGCGTGTGGATGCCTCAGATGTCGTGCCCAGGCCCATCTGCATCAGATAGTACGAGATGGGCTTCGCCAGCTCATCGCCAGGAGGAAGACGCAGAGCCATCTTGCGAATCTGTTCGTCTTTATCCGAATCGGTTTGTCACCTGCCTGTGTTTTGGGGTAGAGCAGAGAGGTCAAACAACAGCAAAGGCTCGAGCGAGAAAAGGGGCCTTTTCCGTTGCAAACGACAGACTCTTGACCTCCTTGGCCTGCTTGTTCATCTGCGCTTGTTCTCTGACTTTTCTCCGGGGAGGACTGCCGCGACCGTTGCGGCTACCGTACGTGCTTTTACTCCAGCGGTATGGGTGGGTGCCTTGGCGTATACGGGATCTGTAAGAGCAGCATCCGGACGGCAATCCCCCCTGCCGTCTTCCTCTGCGGTCTTCTCTTCTTCACCTGGTCGAGGCTCTTTCGCTTCCCGACCTGGCCGCCGTTCACGCGCCATCTCCGCCGCATTGCCGTCCCGAAGACCGCTGAATGCTCTCTCCAGGCCGCTCTAGACAAGTTCAGGGAAGACGAACTGCTTCCGCTGCGGCGGGCAACCTTTGGCAAGGTCAATGCATCCTCCACTCAGCAATTCCACTGTGTGAGGCAGTCGACGAGCCCGCCAGCTCCTGTGAAGGGATGTGGCGAGTGCGCCGGCCCACCGAAAGTCGCCCTGCTGTTCCTTGCGAAGAAAGGGCTTCCTTTCGGTCCGCTGTGGGACGAGTGGATTGGTTTGTCCAGTGACGCGCGGAAGTTCTCGGTGCTGATCCACACGCAGGAGGGCACGATGGCATCCCCCCTTGTCATCGAGAGGGCGAATGGCACAAAATATGGAGAGTTCATCCTGGCTGAGAACGCCCTGTGGAGTGCCGCCCTTCGCGACCCGTGCAACCAGATGATGGTGCTGCTGTCGGTGTCACACATCCCGCTGTCCCATCCGGACGTTCTCTATGACGTGCTCTTTCAACACCGAGTGCCCGAGACCGGCGGGCTGCCGACCAGTAGATTCTGGTATACACAGAGGAGTCTGTTTCCACCGGTTGGCTTGGCGGATCATTTGTATGCCTTCTCGTCTGTTTTCAGCTACCGTAACACGTCGAAGGCTCGGCGCATGCGGTCGGATCGCACATTGGCAGCCACAGAGAGCGGCTCTGCTGCTTGTCAAGACGCAGACAGCGACACCGGATATGGTCAGTCAGTCAGAGTCAGTCAGCAACACACACATTGTTGGTGACTGTATGAATGTACGCAGACACCAAGCACCACCAGTGGCGCGTGTACAACCGATATCACGCCACAATTGTGGCGGCCCAAGGCCTCAACTACCCCTATGATGGACTGCCACGACCTCGCCCAGACGGGATGAGAGCCGCGGTGGACGAGTGGTTCCCCCACCACGTGCTCAGACGCGCGCTCGGCAACGACGCTGTCTGGAAACAGGTAGAAACAAACACTGCCACAGCTTTGTGTACGTGCGCCCGCCTTTTGGTCATTTGCTTGATACAGGTGAATGGTGGTCTGCGCAGCAACCACAGCGGGCAGCTGGATGGGGCCATACAGGAGGAGTTCTGCGACACGCGGCTGTGCTGGACAAGCTCCAAAGACGCATGCGGGCTCGGCAAGGCTCACTACTGCTCGTCAATGGGACCCTTGTGTTTCTCTGAGCTGCGACTGACCAAGTTGCAAGAGCTGATATCCAGCCGACATCCTCTGTTCTTCAGGAAGATTCAACCGACTGCCAAGGTGGTTGACGAGATGGGG